CATCATCATCATTCTCACTTGAAGATTCCTCTTCGATGCGAGAAACGGCACCATGCCATCGTTGACGACATGAAGGACATATCCACTCACCATATGAATTTCTGACCTCGGGATAATCTTTATGAATGAATACAGCAAGACGTAATGAAATTTTTTTGAGGCCTCTTTTCTTAGCTTTCCATTTCCTCTCATTTGTTTCATGTGGTGTAGCTGTAGCATTTGGACTGGTTGAATTGTGTGCAGTTGGAATGCATGTGTAACACTTTTTGTGCTTATTCGGATTAAATGACCCTACAAGACGATCGAAGTGCGACTGACACACATATAATTTATCATAATTTGTTTTTGAATTCACAATAATAACACATCGTTGTAGAATAGCATCGGCTTCTGACATGCTGTCGGGAAACAGATTCTTGCTTGGTTTGAGGTGATTCAAAATGAATCTCAAACACAGAGACACTTCACCGGCTTCTGTTTGAATGATATGATTGTTGAAGACACTGTTCAGCTGCAATTGCCATAATACGGAATCGTACTGCTTACTATATTCAAATTTTACAGAAATAATTTTTTTTTATAAAATGACAGAATGTACTAAGTGTAAAGGGAATTGACCCTTCTCGAGTTTATTTCCTAATACAACTACTATAGTGTTACTGTACAAATGTGAAGATAAAGAAAAGCAGAGAACCGTATCGAGAGAGTTCATCGATAATGTCCAAAGAGAAGTAGATAAGCAGTGAAGTGGAACAAGAAGTCATGAACTGTACAAGGGAGAGTAGTTCATTATAATGACTTGAAGAAATGTGACTGTAAGGTCAAGAGTTCATTACGATGAATAGGTCAGTGAAAGATGAGACAATGAGGAGAAGGAAGATGATCCTTTACACTAAGCATATATTCACTTATAACCGGGTTTTCTCCCACTACGAAAAAGAAAATATGAAAGATCTAAGAACTGGGTTTTTTTCCATTACGAAAAAGAAATAGAAGAGATCTAAGAACAACGAAAAAATAAAGTGAACTATAACACGAAAAGAAAAAGAAAACACTAGGGCAATAAGTCGAAAGACTTAACAGTAACTCATTGTAATGCAATTTTCACTGTGTTGCCCTGGTCCTAAAGTAAAGTTTTATACCTCATTTTGTAGAGCATTGATTTCTCTACAAGATGTCGTAAGTATCTTTTGTGGGGTTTTCTAGATAGCCGAAATTTTTTGATTTTATCCCAAAAAATGCGGTTTTCCAAACTGTGGTTTTCCACTTGGTTGGACTCTGGAGAACCCAGATCGACCTTCAAAAAACTAAACGACACATCATTTTGTTCGGTTTTTAATGGGCTTTCGAATGAGAGGTTGCTCGAACAGAATGGACAAAAACTGACGAAGTTACAGACAAAATATCACTCATAACTCTTTTTCGCAGTTTTTCGATGAACCTCTTTTTGTAAATTCTATAACTCAGTCAAAATAACGTCTGGCAGGCTAATAATTTTTTCATAACCTTAGTTTTGATTGTAGAATCCGAAAATATAATAAAAAGTATATGTTAAAAAATTTCACGTTACGGCTCTTTTGCTGTATGCTTGATGCTTTGACGAAACGTCTCTTAAGATTTTTATAAAGCAGAAAATTTGGTGAGTGTTTATTATGTTTGTCTATATTTCATTTCCATGAGCTCTACCGGTTGGCTAAGTGAGATTGTCATTTGAATTTATTTGTGAGCATTTGCATTTTTTTAGTAATACTAAAACGAAATTTCTTCTCCATTGTTGTATTGACGGCGTCTTGCTTCGAGACCAATAGACGAAGTATAAGAGTACGTTTTTTTGATATCATACAATGGAAAAAAACTGTTAAAGACGCCATACCTCCTCGCATTGAAGATATAGAGAGAGCTACGAATACTTCGCTGTATAGTTAACATTTGACTGGATCTCGAGATATAAATAATTCAAAACTAAGCAAAAAAGAGAATGAGAGGAAATTTAAAATAAATAGATGTTCCCATCGTGTACATACAGAATTCATGAAGAGTAAAATCATCAGAAGTTAAGTCTGCTTACCTCGTGAATGTTCAAAAACTAAAAATACACAGTTATAAAGACAAGATCAATATTATTCGTAGGTGTCGTCATCATCGTCACTGTCTATATCTGTCGATTTTTCAACTATTGTTCTTAATTCTATTGCCGCTGGTAGTAGATTTGCTCTTATTAACGCATAAAATAACGTATGAGAATCTGCTTTCTGATCAAATTTTTCATACCATGCTCTAAGAACTTCTTTTGCTATTGATTGTGATTCTGAGTATAAACTAAAGTTTACAGCAAATTTTTGGATATGAGGTATTTTCCGATCTAAATTTAATTCTCTAGCTAATTTAAAAAGATTTTCATTTGAACCATTTATTGATGATGCCAACTTGTGCAACTCTTTTGCTTTCATAGGTACATTAGGATCTACGAAATTAAATACAGGTAAACTTCGAGAACATATTAAGCAGGTGAAACTAACTCACATGGAGGGCGTTCGTCAATTGGAGGTTCTATTTGAAATTTATTGGTGATACCATTTACGAGTATATCAGACCCATGTGTTGCGATGAACCGTTTGAGCGTGTCGATAACAGATTCAGCTGTAATACAAAAATAGTCAAGCAAAGGTAGGGAATACTGAGCAAGTATTTATGTTTACCACGCCGCTGTCTATAATTTTGGATGTGATTTTCTGTCAAAAGAGAAAAGGCAAAACAATGTGCTTTATAAAAATCTTAATAGTTCATGTATGTACCTGGTTGAAGATCAGTCTGTTGTCCTGATGAATTTTCAGATATATATAAACCTCGCGCTGATAAAGCAGTTTAATATCCTTTTATTTTGTATAGGCATGGATACAAACATTTATAATTCTTAACTTACTTGACTGAGGATATTGTGGAGCTGAATCAGAGGTGAATGGGCTACAGGAGTAGCCCATTCACCTCTGATTTAGAGTGGTGCGTCGGTTTTTTTATCGGGTTTGTATCAACACTAAATAAAAACCTCGTATGAAGACTGAAAATATTTATAGATAAAATAAATATAACACCAGCCGACCAGGCCACCGGGAAATCTAAGGTTTTTCTGTTTTTTGCATGTTGCCTCGCAGATTAGCAGAGCACCAGAGAACACACCTAGCTTTGGAAGGGTTTTCTCGGATAAATTCAGCTTTTGCAAGCTGTTAGTCGTAGGCGGTAGAAGTATTGAGAAACTTTTCTGAATTCGATGCGAAGATATTTTCTTTGTAAAAAGACTGCAAGGCAAAGTCGAATTTTCTTTCTAAGTCTGTAAGAAGTTTTCGCTTCGAGAAAAATTGTTTTCAGTTTTGCATTACTTTATGTGGTCGTTTCGAAGTCCAACGTGTTTATATGAAAAATTCGATTCACAAACCCCAGAATTTCGTGTAGCAGTTAGGCACGCAATATTTCTAGTTTCAGGCTTAACTGAAAAACTGACAAATCCTTTTGAGATAACTACAGAAACGAATTTAGAAAATCGTTTTGAGTAAAACAGATTTTTCAATCTATAACTGGAAACTGATTAAAAATGAACAAATTTCTTTTACGAATCGAAGATGGTTAGCTCAAATATAATTAGAGAAGTCTTTTCTTGAGGCATGTCAGAGTTGAATTTCTTGTAAATCTACTACAAGTTGTGGTAAAATATTTATTTCTTGAAATCTAATTCATCATATAAAGCATTATCTATACCATTTACTTGTGGTCGATAATCGATTGTATTTGGATTATTATCAGTTGTGGCCATAGGAATGTAATGACATTGATAATTCTGGTGAGTTCCTTTACCATAAAAACGTAATGTTGAGAATGGTACGTTAGGAGATACATCATCAGTTACAATAGGAAATGGATTTAAAATTAAAATATAACACTTAATAAGACAGTTACCATAACATCGAGCATATTTAGCCGACGATGTAAAATACATGGCTTTACCATACCATCTGTTGCTGTTTTCCCTAATGTAGCAAAACCAGATTTAAATATAATTTCGATCTTATCACTTTTATCACTCCGATATAATGTACCAAGCCAGTTGTAAACTAAAGGTGTAATCTTTTTATATTTTGGATTACTGTCGTCTTATTTCAATACGCAAGACGCAATATTTCATCCATCAATGGTGTGAAATCGCCTGTAAATTGACCATAAAATGCTTTTCTTGTTAAATCATATGGTCAACCTGATACTCTCAGAGATCAACGTTTATCCGATGTGCAGACACAGACGAGTATGCGAACAAGGTAGATGATGGAAACGGCGACAAGTAAACATGCAACTGTGGAAACCACAACACTCGGACGAAAGACTAATAAAGGAGCGATAGTTGTTCTAGTAGATGGGTTGCGGACGATTTATAATAGACATCTATCTATCTATTTGACCAGTCACCATTTGCTGCAATAGGCAATAAAAATGCATCCCTTTCGTTTTTGTTTCTTGCCAATTGTATAGCTTCATCGTAAATTAACCCCATTTCCTTTAAGTCTCTAGTAATTGTTTCTCTTCATGATGTTGGTGCTCTTCCCATTCTTTTTTCTCCTCCTTGTGGTTCCCATTGTAATATCTGTTTAGCGAGCCTATCCTTGTCCATTCTTATTAGATGCCCGAACCAACGTACTCGTTGCTTTTTCATAGTTTGCACAACGACTGGTAACTTAACTCTTTCTCTTATTTCTGCATTTGATACCTTGTGCGTCCAGTTGGTTTTTAAAATTTTCCTCAAACATATGTAATCAAAAGAATTTATTTTTTCTTCTTGTTGTTTGGTTAGCTGCCAGGTTTCACTACTATGTATGAGCACTGCTATTACATTTGCTCCGTACAACTGCATCTTTGTTTTCAATGGAATACCTTTATTTTGCCATACTTTGTTTAGTGCTTTCAGTGCATATGCTGCTTTAGCTATTCTATTGTTTATCTCTATCATGATGTCACCGCTTATAATAGACATGATAAATGGTATTTCACTAGTGTGCAACAACAAAGACACTACACTGCCACAGACATGAAAAAAACGGTAAATAAAATTTTTATTTATGTGTTCACAGTTGGACAATTTCACTGTGCATTACATTCTGTATGTTTCTGGGGATCACTTACAGTACATACTACTCCTCTGCAGTGTCATCTTTTCAACTTGTCCGGACTGTAAATATGTGGCATTGTGAAATCTTTCGCATTGTACAATATTTCATCGTTTTATAGTATAAACTAGGGGTGGCGCTTTACCGTTTCTTTACAGGTAACGCAGTAACGCATGCGTTATTGCGTTACTGGTAACGAGTAACGCATGTGTTACTCGTTACCAGTAATTACTAACGAGATGCGTTTATTTTTCATAGCTTTTGTAACGAGTAACGCAGCGTTATTTGCGTTACTTTTCTAGTAACGCAGTAACGCTTGCGTTATACGTTACTTGTAACGCAATAACGCATGCGTTACTCGTTACCAGTAACGCATAATATAATAACGCTTTAGTCGCATTGTGTCCGGAAGGTGATAAAACAATACATTTTCGGTTGTTCGTCACTCATACGGTGATATTTGAAAGCGTTGCTTTACTCAGTAAAGTAACGCATCAGTAAAGAAAATGCGCCACCCCTAGTGTAAACTACATAGTTTACGCTGTAAAGGAAACATAGACGATTCTCGATGCAGACATGTAGCAGTTTAGATTTAACAGTTCAGACATTTCGATATTTAGAGCTTCAAACATAACATCTCCGTATTTGATACATTGTTAGTGTTAAACGGAATGCCTTTACATATTTTGAATTTTTTCTATCATATCTGTTCCTTCGGTCACTGCAGGACATCATCTACACTGACAACTCCATCTGCATCATATAAAGGTGATCAAAAAATGAATGAGACAACTTCTTCTAGTTGCTGCAAAGCCGTTCCAATGCTCAACATCAGCCTCAGTATTATTTTCATGTCATTTCAGCTGTTCACAAACAGGTTCTTTTATCTCAAACTTTCTTGTCCTCGATACCTTTCCACCCTAGCATTTTTTGTTCCAAATCTGATGTATTATCGAAAACGAAAACAGCAGTTGCATCCACTGAACTCAGTTCCAGTTACCAATATAAGAAACACTAGCATTCATCCTATCAGCAAACTGATTTCGATTTGTATGTGAGGACAACGGACAAAAGATCCATTTACTGCGGAAAAAATAAGTAAAAGCGGCCCTCCATATCTCTACAACAAGCAACTGTCACAATGCATAATATTGCAAGTTAGCTCTTAACACCTCATCACAGCCTCTGTATAACTTCTAGTCACAGAGGTTCTGTTCTCCGTCCTACAATGGACTTAAGCTTACATCCCTCTTCCTTCGTAACCTTTATAGGAGATTTACAAAATATATTACATATTATATTCAGAGATCTTTTGAAGTAGTTAAGATGACACTTCGATCAGCTTCCGTCGGGACTGATCAGTACGAACGCTATTCGATCGGTTGCCATCCACTGCTTTTCTTCGTCAACCAAAAAAACAACTCTAAAAGACTTCCGGTCGGGGAATGGTTGCATTGTTTGATTTTTCGGTGGTTGTGCAGGCTAGCTGGTGGTAAATCTAAGAGGAATATGGGTAAATATGTTAGACGGAATGATTTATAATATTATTTAGGAACGTGGGCAGACTGAGTTGGGGTGAGGGATAAATTATCATTTCTTTATAGTTTTTCCATGTATTAATCACATATTCTTTTGCCGCTATTTCATTAGCTTTCATTTGTTGGAGTTTGTCTGAATGTTATTCCTTGTTCATTGTCTGAAATGTGCCAAAGAAATGAAAATAACGAAAAGTAATATAATTAAGATTCATTGGGGAATTAAAAGACGTTCTTTCACGATCATTCTAGTGAAACTTTCTTTGGTTTTTCTGAAAGTTTTCAAGGTCACAAAAAGTGACTCAGTTTCGTTGAATGTTTCGAATAAACTTTCGACTTCCCTCCCTTTATGGTCATACAGTCCAAAGTGTCCTCTATCGATCTGCGCAAATAGGAGCTCACTAACTGTCATGGTTAGGGGAAAGGTTCAGTTTCATTGATGCTCAACGGATCGCTTACAACAGTCAGTACTCTTAAAAGAACTGAAAATATAGCTCATCGACCAAATTGAATATGGTGGCATTATTTGTTGTGCTACGCCATGCGACTATCAAAATTTTCCAAGGGGCATCATTTCTACTAATTATCAGCATACGCTAAAAGTCTATAACGTCGTCCAGTTTTTACGAAATTGACACTGCTTAAAACCAGAATTTAGTTTCAGGAGATCTTCTTGAAGTATGGTGATAACTCGTGAAGAAGAGCATCTCCCGAACACTCCTTTCAAAACTCGTAAAACACATCATCGAAAACTCTGCTTTTAAAGACATTGTGTCCCGGAAAACGTGCAACCAGGACTTGGGTATATAATGGTGAGAAACGAAGATATTCGGCACCTCACATTTAGAAGTTATTTTAAAATACTCAGATGTGTCGTCTATGATAGAATAGTAATTGAAGTTGATTGCCCGGTTGAGTTGTCATATCTAAAACGTTTACAATGCCGTGGTTTCTTATATTGAAAGTTAACTGCTATTAAATGTTTACTTATAGATAAAGAAATCAGTTATATCTAAAAATGTATAGATATTTTTGTACATTCCTCCATAATGAGTGTATACCACAAATCATCAATCAAATACTTCTTGGTTTTTTGCACGTGGACACATAAAACAAAAACAAAGTTACTATATAGTTGTCATTACATATTTTAATCACTATGTAAAAAATGCAGGTGCTGATAGAAAACAAAAAAGAATGTGAATGAATTTTCTTTTCATCTTTTCTATAAGATTTTCGGTAAAGTACACACATAGAAATAAAAAAGAATTTTAGTAAAGCTAATAACAATCGTATGCACACAACAATAAGTGATTTTTATTTCAAAAATCGAAACTTTCGATTGTAATCTATACTCACCATCAGCTATAGTTTACAATAAGGAACACACAACTAGAGCCATTCATCGCAATTAGATTACGAGAAAATTCAGATTGACTATTTTGCAATTCGTAAAGTCAATTTTCAACATGAAGATTTTATTTTTAATCTATCGAGTAGAGGAGACTGAGGTCGTGCACAATTTGCGTTCGCTGCGAGTTCATTTTTCTGCCATTTTTTTTCCCATGGGGGTATCTAAGGTATCCTCAAACGACTTGTGATTTGGTGCCTCACTTTCACCTTACCGTCAAAGCTACACGCCGAGATCTAATTCGAAGCTTGTTGAGTGATACACATAGTGCAGCTTTTCTGTATAGAGGCGAAATATTACAGAGTGGACTGCTGAATGTTTCTGCATTTTATCTGCATTTTGAATTTTTATCGGGAAAATTATTGGTTTAGTATGTGATTTTTTTATCTTCTATTCTAGATTTCGTACATGCTAAAATGGCTCGGATTCAAAAGGATATTCTTGATTTAATCAATAGCGCCCAGGTAACATACCTAATACAGTTTTGAAACTGAAGTTAGTCAAATTCTTCTTATTCAGGTTCATAATCGCCAAAGAATAAGAAATGATATAATTGATGTATTAGAACATTCACTTAGTCACCTGTCATTGAAATTGTCTCTCTATGGTAGGTGTAGTAAAGGGATTTATACAGCCTCAAATTTTTATTCTTTTGTTGTTTGTTTATTGTACCAGATTTTGCCGACGGATCATCTGAAGAGTTATTATGTCTCGTTGGAATTATTAAAATAGAATATAAAAGCAAGTGTCCTCATTATAGACATAAAACAGTAGTTGAATGTTATACTTGTTAATCTAGGTAATCGGTATAATATTCCAGTTGAATTGTGGATACCTCAGAATTATCCATACCCGGCTCCCATGTGTTACGTTAAACCAACGCCAAATATGCATATAGCAGTGAATACACATGTAGATCAAAATGGGGCCATTCACATTCCTTATTTAGAAAACTGGAATCAAGTAAGCTTATGAATAACAAATTAAAAGATAGTATTACATTAGAATTGAATGTGATAAGATCCTACGTCTTGCAGAAAGAGAAAATCTACACAAGTTCTTTAAGGATTTTTTTTCTTGAAAATTCTTGACCAAGATTTATTGATACCATTAGAAAATTAGGTGCAAGCTCCGCGCTGGACCAGACTTTATGAAACTAAGGTGGTATATGCAGAATTTCAAGGCGAATCCGACAGCGGGTGTCTTATAACTACATCTTGAGTTTTTCATGTGTCACCACAGTCTCTACGGTTTCTTATAGTGAATTTAGGCTGTTTTTCTGTTCTGTCACTTTGTTTCTTCTCTTTTTTCTCCTTTGCATGCGCACACTCCTTTAAGGAAAAAAGAGAGAAGAAAAAAAGTGACACAACAGAAAAACAGCCTAAATCCACTATAAGAATTAATAGAGACTGTGGCGACGCATGAAGAACTCAAGATGTACTTATAAGAAGCCCGCTGTCGGATTCGTCTTGAAATTCTGCATATACCACCTTAGTTTCATAAAGTTTGGTCCGGCGCGGAGCTTGCACCTAATTTTCTAATGCCTCTGCACTTGATGTTCTTGGAAAAACTTGATCAAGATTTACTACGGTTCCAAGTCTGATGTATCTTGAGAATTCTGTAGCAAGATCTTGTTGTTGTCTGTATCACCGTTTTTGTTTTGTAGTGCCTATATATATATAAAACAGCATCCGCACTGTAAAATATTGAGAAATCTTCAAGTATATTATGGACATAACGTTCAACTAAACAACTTCGGTATTGTCTGAATGAGCTGTGAATTGTGCAGTACTGCAGAGAGTAAGCACAACAGAATCCAGTAGATAAAAATAAAAATAAATGTAAATAATACCGAAACAATCCAAAAACTATTCTACATTTATACAGATATCGAAAAACTGCCAAGATTCTGCTAATTAATTAATAACTAATTAATTGCTTCGTCAGAATCAGTTACAAATCTTGATCAAGTTTTTTCCAGACAGATTCTGTTACAAAACTTGTCGACATTCTTGAATTGCAAGATAATCTCAAGATCTTTTCAGATAACGATAAATCTGGATAAGACCTCGAAAGAACTGAACAGAAATCTTTCAAGTTTTTATCAAGATCTGCAGTCAAGATTTTTTACTTGAAAATGTCGATCTAGGGATGTTCGGTTCTCGTTAAGGACCTGGACCGCAGTTCTCTTATTTTCTGTTCTTCATCAGGAATTGGAACCGCGCTGCCGGTTCTGACAATGGGACCGAAACCGCGGTTTCTTAGACGATACTTTTTTTCGGAACCGACACTTTTTGACTTGCCTGTCTTTTAACAAAATGAAGTAGAAAAAGAATATATTTGTAATCATTTCGTTTGCTATAAAATGAACTTTATTTCGTTGAATTGCTACTGTCGGAAAAATTATTTTTCGATTCTTAGTTTAGAACTAAGAACTGCACTTGTGTTCTAAGTTCGGAACCGTGGTTTCTTTCATTTCGGTTTTTAGTTGAGAATCGAACATCTCGAATCTTTACATCATTTTCGCTCTCCGCTAGGTTTCCAATAAATCAAATTTAGTCGATTTAATTACGCAAATGTCACTTGTATTTGGTAAACTACCACCAGTGTATACAAAATCTAGTTTACCACAAGCTCAATCAGCAACTTGTACGCGATTAAGAATTACGAAACAAGATTATTTATATTCTTTTAGTTTCAATTATTTTTAGTTTATACAAACAGCAGTGATAGTTCCAGTAATAATAAATCAACAAACAGTGATAGTTCCGGTAATAACAAATGTGTCATATGTTTTGATGCCGATATTGATTGCGTTGTACTTGAATGTGGACATATGTTGTGTTGCTTGAATTGTTCAAAATCGTTCCAGCAGTGTCCAATATGCAGACAACAAGTTCAACGTGTGAAAAAGATTTATAAATCATGAGAAACGACAAAAAAAACAAATTTTACGCAAGTAAATATATTGTGAGATAGCGTCAACACATTAAGACTTTTTCAAATGTAAGCTTAAGTTTGGTACATTCCATTTTGTTTTCTTTAATCATATTTCAGACATATGAATTAAAGTATATTTTGTACAGTTTTTCAATTAGAATTTCAATTGTGATGAACTTGTCTCTAACTTACGAATTACAAATTGGAGGTTGTATATGATTATAGAACGGTTTCTGGTTGAATCATTTTTCCAAAAAAAATATGACAATTTGACGTAAAACTTTTATCAAATGTCTTGTATTATTTGTTTTAAGTTAAATAATGTAACAATTGCGCTGAAAGGCGAGTTTCATGTAGTATGCATGTGTACTATAAATTATAATTACGCTAAAATATAGTGAATTGATTGTCTATAGCGGACTAAACATGACCTTATATAATCCTACTCACACTTCTCTCCTCCCCTCCGTTTTTGTGAATGTAAAGTGCATGACATTTTTTCAGCTTTTGCAGCCTTTCATCCTTATCCTCAGCCCACCCTATTCCCTTCTCTTGTATATTCATAAAAACTACTATGCTCTTGAACATATAAAGTTCAATCTCATTCAAAGGAAAAATCTACAATATCAAGAAACTAAAATGTCTGGATATTCTCGAAAATAAAACAGACCAGAATATCTCAGAATGACACTTTAGCATTTCGCACAATACACTATTCTTTAGCTTTCAGACATCTCTGAAGTCAAATGTACTTAGGGCAATCCAAAAGTAGTGTCGTCACTGTCTTATTTCCTTATAATAAGCTCAAAGAAATTTTCTTTTTTTATGCAGTGATAGAGAAAAGAATGCTCTATTTTTCTATACTACTAATATTATAATAATAAAATTTCGATAAGATCTGTTTTGTCTGCATGTGTCCTGGTAGCATGAACGCGAGAGGAGTATTTTTTGAATAACTTTTGATAGAAACAAGAGAGAGAGCTGCGGTTTTCACCGCTGAAAAAAGAGGATGGTGACGCATCAAATCGTGTATTATAGATTTTTCTAATATTGATTTCTAAAAACATTTTTATTCAATTTTCTAACTGTCGAAAAAATGTTTTTTTTATGATAAAAGGAAAAAGAACAAAAGTGAACTTTTTTCACAGAAATTGGTAGAAAAT